AGTGGTTTAGTATTGAGATTGGTCAATGTGGAGCCAATTTAGATCAAATACTGTGTCATTAGTAGTATAGTACTACATGTTGCCATATCAGCATATCATGTTTATTTGTACAAAGTAGTTTTAAAATAAATGCAGTGGAGTAAAAAGTACAATCGTTGCCTCTGAAATGTAGTGGAGTAGAACTATAAAGTACTTTGAATGGAAATACTCAAGTAAAGTATAGATACGTCAAAAAAGTACTTAAGTACACTTGAGTAAATGTACTTAGTTACTTTTCACCACTGACAACCCGTGTCTTAAAGTAAATAACATACAATTTCCTGTGTATTTATACGGATTTACTGCTTTGCATGTCGTTAATACTGTAAACATTTGAGATATATCTTGAAAACATTGTAATACGCTTAAATGAAATAACCGTGATACATAGAGAGATAATGTAATGCGTAGAAGTGTTCTGTGAGCACGAGCTTAGTCTCAGTTAGCTAGTTATATGCGGGTTGTTAGCGTTATCGTTCAGGAGGGAAACGGAGCCCTTCTCGCCCAAGGCCATTGAAAAGCAACAAACGTGATAACAGACACAACACGAGTTCACTATTTAAAACACTGGGCTTGTTCTGTCATTAAACATTACAAAAACTGAAAGTTAGTCATAAATGTAGCAAACAGACCTGTTGAATCACTCCTCGTCCCTCTCCAGTAACGTAAGGTTTAGTAGTGGATACCGTTACTGTTTCTGTTTGTTATTATGTCGTTTTCCCGCCTCCTCTTCGACCCAAACACAGTTTCCCGTCTCATTAGGAATAAAGTCGGCAGTTATAAACTATTAAAACTTTCTGTTTCGAATTCTTAACACTACAACTTCACTTCAGCAGACTGCCTCGGTGTTCTCCCGCCTGTGATTTGAGCAGAGTTTCACACCAAAAGCATTCCAGTTGGGGGTTGGATGTTTCGAAAGGCATTGTGGGTAGTTTATGTACGTTACATTCAATCAGTATAATTCCACGTTATAAACACTTGTAACTGTTTTTATGAGACATTATGATAATAATACACTTCACAAAATATGTACAGATGTCAATTCACTCCCGGCCTAATTAATTTCCGCCCATACCGGAAAGTCAAGCTTGTTATTGTGTAATTTGCATTGCATTGTACTAATTCCTTAATGATTACATCACCGACAGGAGGATGTCCATCCCATAGACTGTGGTCCATCCACATATTGTCTTTTTGTACAAAGCATGACAATTTGTTTGTAAAACACTAAGAATTACATACAAATATGGGTTATAATTGTCTCGTGTTATTTCACGTTTGTATTAAAGTTACTGTAATAAAAAAGGAAAACGTCTTCGAGGATATTAGACTACTGGTCCGGTCATAAATCGAAACTAGAAGATATCATTTAAAATGCACACAATTCACTGACATTTAAATACAAATAAAGACAAAGCAAAAATAACAATTTAAAAAGTGTGGACCCTGACATAGCCTACGCTTCCACAGAAACTCTTAAAGTTTAACTATAATAAAATATACTATTGACTAAATCAATTTATTTCAGAGACTGTGTTATTTACCTGAGAGCAGCATTCGTCAGGGAGGAAAAGGTCTATGGACACAACTCGTCTGAAGTAAACTATCAATATGTCAAAGTTTACTGTTTCGATTTAAATTCCACCACTCGACATTACGCCACCTAAAGAAGAACCAGTCAACTTAAAAAAAACAGCTTTAACTCCTCCTCGGCCTGTGTATTGGACGGCGGAGAAAAACAAGTTGACAAAATAAAACAACTTCCTGTACTCTTCCAAAATAAAATTCAAATAGAGGAACATCAGTCGCCCTATAGGCAATGCCATAATAAAGAGTGTGTGTCTGTGTTGATATGCAATGACATGCCTAATACAAACACAATAGTAAAGACACACATATAATCACACTGTTACAATAACAGGTGTCCGATTTGTCAGACTTCATTATGCTATACTATTACATTACATTGACCCTTATATTATATCTTGTATTGTGTTAACATGTTGTACTGTTTTACTACATTGTTGTAGATAATATATTTATATTATGTTGCTGTATTAACACAGTATCACTTACATATCATTCTGGCGTACAGTGTTTGTAGACTTGCTGACTGGCTGCACATTGTCACTTTTACTTTGACACTTTGTCTTTTTTATGTGTTTCTAATTTAACACATTGTATTGTCTTGTATACCTGTAATTATGATGTATTTGTTTCCGCTTCTCTTTTCTCCTTACTGTCTGTGTGCTGCTAAAGAACACCTCCATTAGCTTTTATTATTTCCTCTTTGCAAGATATTTATTTTCCCTTATTGAAAAATCCAGAAAATGTATATTCAAATTGAATTTACTTTCAAAAGGTTAAGTATTGGACACACTATGTCTCCTACTACACTGTTAAGTATTTAGCTAGTGAGCTTTCGCTACAAGTATTCACATGCAAACTCCAAACTAGACGAGATGTCATAAATCAAGCTTGCACGTGTGCATGTTAAACTCAGAATTAAACTGAGCACAGATAAACGTTCAGCTTCAGCAAATGAATGGGAACATTTTGAGAATTGTGAAGTAACAATGAACATGTTTTTTGAATGAAGGTGGACTTCAATTGTTTTGTTGCTAAGACTAAATAAAGTTTAAAAAATCAGTGGGAACACTGGTATTGCTGTTTTTAAGTGATTTACTGCAAAATGAGATGCTGTAAAGTTTAAGTAATTATAATGGTATAGTGGTGTCCAATCCTCAAACTAAGAAATCCAGGTTTTATTTTGAAGGAGAAAATCGTTTCCGGGATCATGTAACCTTCTCTTAAGCCACTTGACACATATATACAGAGGGAGTTTCGCAACAGCTACACATCATGTGTAAGGTCATGCCACTCATCTGACTGACCTGAGGAAACACTCACATGAGCTGAAGTGTAGGAGGCAGACTAAAACAACTGCTTCTGCAAGTATCATACCAAATACAGTATCTATCCCAATAGAAAACAAGACAGAGACTCATATTTAATAACACTGATCCAACCTGAGGTAGTTGTAGTATGTACTGCAACAGTTCAAACTGCCATCTATATATGGATTCACATCTAGGGCCAGAAATAACTTGACCGAGACAGTCTGCTGAACAATAGAGACTAGTTCATGCACAAGTGTTATGGTTTCTAAACATGCATCCAATAATATTTCAATGGTATTGTTTCATCTATTTATTCCACAAATGGAAACAAATAATGAAACACATGACCAAACCGTCAATAATAAAACTAATTGAGTTTCTTCTTAGTCCAAAGTCAGTTTTTTTTTATACCCGTTCAATTTTTAGTAAAAGGTGAGAACCATGGTCGTAAAGTTGTTTACTCACATGAAGGTCGATTGGTACGCATGGGTTAAGAGGGTATCATTTAAAAATGTATTCCATTGCAATTATGAATTACCTGTTAAAAAAAAATAGCACAATCTAATTATCACAATATAAAAGTAATGAAATAACTTAACTTTTGGAAGAAATGTTGTATCATGTTGTATTTTTTTTTTTAAGGAACTCTGCAGCGTATTCAGGCAGTAGATTGTAGACCAACAGTGAGAGACATGACCATATACAGCAAAAAAGCACCAATTAAAACGGAGAAAAGGCTCCGTTTTAGTTTAATACATACAGTGGATTAAGCTCACCCACAATATTTTCAAGCATATGATTTGAAAGATGTAACTGTTATGTTATTTAAATGTATTGTAGCATTGTAAAACTGATAATAATCCCCTTTGTTAAATGAACCAGTAATCTGATTACTTATTCTTTATGGATGTTTAAGTTTAAGGAACCTTTTTATTGTATCCTAATTGCATAATGCCATCTTTTATCTAATATTAACAGCAACAGTACTTTGAGTACTATCCACCTAGGATCTACTCTAATACTAATTCCCTCTAGTTCTTTGCAAAGCGTAATTAAAGTGAGATAGAATATTAATATATAAAAAAAATTATGTTTGTTTTTGTCACTAGTGAAAAAACAGGCCGCAGTCTGATCAGTCACATGACACTCTTTCAGCACAACGTTACCACAATAAACAATAACACTTTTATTTTCAACAGATATAGAAACAGACCCACTGTACATGAGAGCAGTCACAGGAGGTACCACACGATAACATTTTCAAAAACAGAAACATTAAACATAAAGATTGTTATTGTGAAAGAAAGAAGTGATAAAGCAGTGTAAACAGCTGATGCAGGTTTGGCACTTGTTTCAAAAGATATCCTTATTGCAGCTTGTGTTAAAGGTCCCATGTCATGGCCATTTCCACTGATCATATTTCCATTGTTGAGGTCTAGAATAGATTTACATTGTGCAATTTTCCAAACTCACATTGGTTTCTCATACAGCATCTCTGTATAGTGTGTGTATTCACCAGGTATTCACAAGAAAAAGGTTTATAACGCTGTGAGAATGTGTCTGCGGAGAGCATTCCTCCGTGATCCCAACTCGTCTATTACCAGCGTTCAGGGAGCTCTATGCAAGTCAATGGGACTCCCTGTTAGTTAGCCAAGGGACCCTGGTGTGTGAGGTGCTCCACGGATTGGTCCATTTGGGCCAATCCGGTCATTTGTTGTTGATTTGAGTGTTCACGCGTCACAGAACCCAGGAAGCAAACAATGAAAAAAGAGAAATGTCCAACGAGGCGTTCTGGGGCAGCACAGACAGGTCTTCTCTGTGTTAGAGTTTTACTCACTCCAGGGTGTACTTTGAGGGTTTGTGACTCTGCAGACCGTTTACATGCAGAACAACCTTCATAACACACAAGGGGACGGGTAATAACCAGAAAAGCATGACATGGGACCTTTAATATCTAAATTGGTATAAAAATATAACTACGGCAATAAAAAGCTGCTCAATTATTATTATTAAAGTGATCACAGAGAAGCATTAGTGGTTCATCACAACACAAAACATGTATATTATAGTTCTTCATTTATCTCCAAGTTTAAAACAAAAAACAAAGTAATGTATGTCTGTCTGTCTGTTCAGGATTATTTATACTCTCCCCACAATCCCACAGCCTTCCCGTCCCACTCTGAGGTGGACAGACACTTGACAAAGAAGTGTCCCAGGTCGTGTTTAGAGATGGCTCTCCCCTTCAGCATGTTCTCCTGCGTCAGGTAACTCTCCGTCAGAGGAAGGTCGTCTGAGGGAGCAAGTTAGGGACAAAAACGCATGTTAAATCAATGGTGGAAAGTAACTAAGTACATTAACCAAGTACTGTACATAATCATACTTTTAGGAAACTTGGACTTTACTTGAGTCTTTCAACTTTACACTTTTACTTAACTACCTTTATTTAACACTTTTAGTTACCAGTTACTTATTTTGTGAATAATATGATGCGTTTGTGATAAATATACTACAAATTGACTTGGTAGTACACAAAGTATACAATATTTGCTGCATATTGACAAATTACAACATTAAAAAACACAATAATGTATCTTTGATTGATAAAAACTGAAAAATATAATATTCTATAATAAAAAAATGTTTTAAAAAAAACCTATTCTGTATAATGAGTGTTTTTAATGTTGCTATCTTTAGTGCATTTTGATGATAATATTTGTATTTTTTTAATTTAGTAACATTTTGAACTAAGGACTTTTACATGTAATGGATTATTTGTAGACCGCGGTGTCACTACTTTCACTTAAGTACAGGATCTTAGTGCCTTTTTCACCTCATATATAAATAATAGCCTATAAATAACATGAATGCTCTATCTAATTTCAGGAGCCAAAAATGGCACTGTAAAAAAAAAATGGCTTTGTCTTCACTGCCAGGATATAAGTTTGATTTTGACTTTTTATATTCTTTACTTAACTTTAGAGCAAAATCATTTTGGATAGACTTTAATGTGTTTTTCAATTTAATCGACTATCTCCCAAAAATGTGAACTCGATCAGGCTACCTGTATTTCTTTTTCAGCAACCAGTTTTAAAACCTTTCTTCCAGGTGTGTTTGAAATAAAGTTTTACTTCCTACTGACCTGCAATGTGAGGAGGCATGACGGCCACGTAGTCCAGCCCTGAGGACTTCAGCACTGTGTGCATCCTGTCATGGTCCTCCGTCACAGGAAGCATGCGGGGCGGCACTTTAGAGCGGTCCCACAGCAGGAAGGCTGGGAGGATCAGGAAAAATAATCACAATCACTCTCAGAAAGAAAGGGCAATCAATTATTGTCAAATACACTTTAATTACACTTGTCATTTTCCTTATGCAATGTACATAAGAAACAACGGCCACTTTTAACCCAGCAACATCACACAGACTTCACCACCTCAGCCGCTCTGTTGTAACTTATAAACAGTGAGTTGTACCTGACATGCAGGCCACCACTTTGCAGATCCCATGGGACTTCATGGCTTCAACTATGTTCTTGGTGCCTTCAGACATCATGGTGGTCGGGCCTGATGAGAACAGATCACAGACTCATGTACTGAAGTGGAAGGTAACTCCATATCACAAAACTGTTCTTGACAATAGTTTAAAACGGTCAAAAGCTTTTTTAAACGTGTCTTTGGTTAGGCCGCTGAAATAAGGTCTGTCGTTGATACAAACGTGAGAGATTTTCATGTTTTGTTCTACGAGATCCAATAGGTCAGAAATACCCCACTGTGAATGTCCAAAGCTCCTATGTGTCTAAAAACTGAGACTACTGAACATCATCATGCCAACCATTAGCTGCCTTTAGCTTAGCGGTGGTGACAAGAGGTCATGTGACCATGATGTAGTGTATGTCCTAACAAAGCTTTTCACCTGTGGTGATTGCATTTAATGTACGCTAAAAAAAAAGTAGGGTTACTATGTGGAGACTATCTCGCTGAACAAAACGTAAGTAATGTAAGTCATAAATGTTTGCCGCAGAGCTTATTTTCTGCCAAAGTCTAAAAATATCATTGCTTTCTTTCGAGGAAGCCCTTGCAATGCTAACTCCTGGGACAGCATAAAACTACGTCATCACTGCACTACTGTATACTGTGGAATAGTAATACAGTAGAGCAAATGTAAAGTACATACATGAAAACACAAGTTTCCAACCTTAAAAGGAGTTACTCTGTGTCAAATTAGCCTTTTCATATTTAAGTGTTGCCACTTTTGATAAAGTCTAGATATTTTACATATTGTAAATCCTGATTCCACCATTAATGTACAGTGTGTTTTAGATTGTGTGACACTGACAAGATGATATCAAATAGGAACGTTATGTTGTAAAGTCTGTTAGCGCCCTCTAGTGAATGTTTTTACATTATTACACCATTTTAAACTACAGTCCTCCTTGTAGGTGTACATGGTCAGTTACGCAATGTGAACTTTGACAATGCAAAGAAAAACTTCTACAATAGCAAAACAAATCAATAATGGTGTCAACATGTAAGAATTGCTCAATCAACAGTAAAATAAATGCTGCAAATGTAGGACAGCTAATTCAAAACAAAACCAAAGTGTAAGCAAAAATTCATCAGTGTTGTGGAATATTTCCCAAGGCCCATAACTTTGACCCAGTGTATCAGTTCAAACTGTCCTGACTGAGCACACGCACCTGTAACCTTGGCTGCTGTGCTCTCAGTGTTTTGTCTCCCTGTTCCTGCCTGTTGGCGTCAGCTGATAGAGGTGTTATCATTCTATCTTGTTATGCAGCATGTTGATGATGCTCTCTGAACTAGCTAAATACATGGGTCTGGGGTAGAGTTCTTCAGAATTGACGTGGCAACTCTACCGTGAAGTCAGAACCTCTGACTCTTGGACTTGTGATGTGAATCCTCCGGCCGTAACTCCAAATAAACCATCATGTGTTTGACATCAAAGCTACTGCTCCTACCGTGTCTCCTTCCTGAGTCGGTGACTCCCAGTGCATAGCTACACAGAAGTTTCCTCTACAATCAGAATCAGAATAATAAAATGTAAACTAAGCTTGGCTAAATTGTAAATTACATTTATGCAATGCCATTCCGTATATCTCTACTTCTGGGATAAAACTTCCTTTAGGTCAGAAAGAAAGTTAGTTTAGCATTTAGTTTAATAGTTGTGGGTCAAACTGTGGAGCCTTACTCAGGCTGTTCCTGGTGCCCAGGATGATGATGACAGCGTCCTGGCCTTCCAGGGTCTTCATCACATCGTCTTTATTGAGCACATCTCCCACCACCACCCGGAACGCATTGTGGTCGGCAGGCAGCCTGGAAGGGTCTCGCGTCAGCACCGTCACATTGTATCCTGAGGGAGGAGACATAGAAATTAAACAGAACAACAATAATGCCATTTCTGATGTATTTATTTGTTAACCGTAGGGCTGCACAGTTAATCAAATATCTAAATTGCAATATGGAATAATAATTCCAACAAATCTTTAATGATAATGAGAATTATGATGCAAAATGACCAATACCTCCAATTTCGTGAATGAATCGCAATAGCAATATCAGTCAAATGAATCGCGATTGGTTACATGTTTACAAATTGTGCAGCCATAGTTAAAACTGTGGTTATATTTTCTTAAATAATTAAGATCTTTCCTTTTTTCTTGCGGGATTTTGTTACATTTGACATCCATTCAGAAGTGGCAGAATGAGAAGGAGTTTTATCTCGCGGCTCCAATAAAAGAGCAGGGATTACTCTTTGTGGCACATTGACAACTGTCACCTGATTGTTTATCGTGCACTAACTTTCATGTGTTGTAAACATAGGTTGGTATTACAGGACAGCATGATAACAAATATTCAAACTGGAGCAAGAATACAAGTATTTTCCAGAAGCTCTTTTAATAACTTCACCCATTTCGTAAGGGGAACCACCCTCCCTGTCCAGGCCAGATAGTGAACAGCTTCTACTATCAGCTCTCAGTGACTCAGCAAAATGCTGCCCTGCAACGTCTAACATGACTCAACAGTTTTTAGGAAGGAGAAAGGAAAATAATATGCTGCTTAAGCAAATACAATCATGTGACATATTGTGTTTGTGTAACTCATATACGCAAGTGTAGCGGCTTGTCTGCAGCAGTTTATGTTTTAAAAAATCGTTTGCGAATCCCAACCAAAGCAGAGAAAAAACAAATATTACTAACTTAACGTTTAAATCAGATTACATGTAATAGATTTGCAATAATCGAATAGATAACATTTGCTATGACCTTCAAAAGTGTACACTAAGTAAAGCTGGTGGATTTTGACAAAATCAAATGTGTGTCCTCTCTCACCTGCAGAGACAGCCTGCTACATGTGTCCTCTCTCACCTGCAAAGACAGCCTCCCTACCAGAGTTCCCGTTAGCCGGTAATTACCGGACTACGACCGGTAAAATATGCTGAAGACCGGCAAATCTAAATCTCTCCGGTCAAAGTGTCCGTTCAAAATAATTTCCGTTTAGCGCAATAACGCATCAGTTGCGCAATTTGCGCCACTTATGTGACAGACAAGAAGAGTATGTGACAGACAAGAATAGTCAATTCTAATGTCTAACACTTAATGTGGAGAAAGAGATGTCCTGTATGGGTTGATTGTACATTGATCTGTTGGTAATGCCTCGGGGTTCCGGTGGGCATGTAAACAAATGCATAATGCTGCGCTATACTTTGTGGCCTCACCCAGTTGCATAGCGACGCTTATTGTTTAGGTGTCTTTTAATAAGCAGGTAGTCATATCATTAGCTAGAACTAGCTGGATCTGATCGATATGGACATAAACGCGAGTCTAATCTGACCGGAGAGAGAGATCAGCTGCATAATCACATGCAGCGGTGAGCGGACAAAACACACTCTTCATGTTAGAATATCACACGTAGCTATTTTAATTACCTCTCAAACTACCTAAACTAGTTATAGATATGTTTAGTTTTACTGTCGGGTCACTCATTACTGATCCGCGAGCTGCATGATACTGAAGGGCTGTCAGGAGAGGGAGAGAGCGCTCTGTTTATTATTCCCGTGTTATTGTAAATTACTGAACACTTTTGAATAGTTAATCTACTATGATTAGTTTGTTTAATATCGAATCATATCAATTTGTTTTAAAGCACAATAAATAACAAAGAAGTCCTTTGACCGGCACTTTTCTCATTTTGTCCGGAAGATTTAAACTTTAACGGACATGTTGACCGGCGAACAAATATTCTAACGGGAACTCTGCTCCCTACATGTGTCCTCTCTCACCTGCAGAGACAGCCTGCTACATGTGTCCTCTCTCACCTGCAGAGACAGCCTGCTATGTGTCCTCTCTCACCTGCAGAGACAGCCTGCTACATGTGTCCTCTCTCACCTGCAGAGACAGCCTGCCTACATGTGTCCTCTCTCACCTGCAGAGACAGCCTGCTACATGTGTCCTCTCTCACCTGCAGAGACAGCCTGCCTACATGTGTCCTCTCTCACCTGCAGAGACAGCCTGCTACATGTGTCCTCTCTCACCTGCAGAGGCAGCCTGATACATGTGTCCTCTCTCACCTGCAGAGACAGCCTCCCTACATGTGTCCTCTCTCACCTGCAGAGACGGCTTGCGGCAGGGTCGCGAGCCCCGTCATTCCCGTGGCTCCAAATACCGCCACGTTTTTTATGGAGTCCGACATGATTTGTAGGTAACGAAAAGCACGACTCAGGAGCAACTTGTCGGTTGAAACCAAACTGTGCCCAATGCAGAAGATAGTTTCACTTAAAGTCACACTGACATGCGCAGGACCGCCTCTGTTGACAGGAAGTGAGCGTCAGCACAGGCTCCTCCCACAAGAGGGTTAAAGGAGCCCTGCAGATCTAAATGTTGTGAAACATGTTATGAGTTTTTTAAGAACCATTGAACTTTTTGTCTCATGATGACGAAATTAGAAACAAGCTTGTTTTATGCAGCCGTGGAATGTAACTGATTACATTTACTCAAGTAATGTACTTAATTATAATTTGGGGGTACTTTTACTTTACAGGAGTAGTTTCATATTCTGCCAAGTTGTACTTCTAGTTAACTACATGTATACTACTACATTGTATTTGCCCCGCTCCCCTCTGGCAGGAGGCTATGCTCCATCAGGACCAAAACCACTCGCCACCTGAACACTTTCTTCCCCTCCGGCCTCATCATCAAGGCCCGGGACCGCGACCGACTGACCCTGACTTTTATCCACCCCAGAAAAACATGCCATATGCACATCATGTGAACAACATGTTGTTCTTTTTTTCTTAATACTGTGAGCCATGCTCAGCTCCTTGACTATATTTTGCACATTTCTGCACAGCCCTCCACTTTAAAATAAAACACACTGTAGTTTGCCATATATTCATTAGTGTTTTAGTTCATAGGCTTTTAAAGTTCCTTTGGTGAAAAAATGTAAACATTTTGACAAATTACAACATAAACAAACCCTAATACGTATTTTCTAATTATAAAAACAGCATAATATAATATTCTATACAACCCATTTAAAAGAGGCATTCTGCAAAATAAGTACTTTTGACCCTTGAGTACATTTAGCTGATAATACTTGTTACTTCGGTGACATTTTCAACTCATTTATCACCTGAATCTCCTCCTAGAGCACCATTGTGTTCTTTGTAACCAAATGTCTCTCAGAGGGGTGTGGGGAGGGGCTCCTTGCTTTCATCTAAAGTAACAGACAGAGAATCAGCACTTGAAACAGAGGGGATTATGGGATGCTACAATGCATTATCTGTTTGGTATTTCGAGCGAAACACTTCAGAGACATGTTTTGTATGAGACCTATATATGATGTGAAAAACAGTATAATAGGGGACCTTTAAGTAAAGGAACTGACCACTGGTTTTATGTGATTGACTGTTCAAGAATTGCGCTTAAAAACACAATAAGTTTAATTAATTCATGATTGTGCAGGACATCTGACAATTTCTTCTTTGAGGAAAACAAACCTGGAAACAGGGAAAGAGGGGACTTTAAAAAGTGGTTTACTTTAATCGATCAGAGATTGTGATTAGTTCATTAACAGCGAGCCACTGTCCGGCAGTGGCTCAGCCAGTACGGGCTTGGACTGTGAGCCAGGGTCGCCAGTTCAAGTCCCCGACAATACCTAAATATGGAGTGTGGACTTCTACTTGGAGAGCTCCCAGTTCACCTCCTGCCCTGCCGTGGTGCCCTTGAGCAAGGCACCGGATATCCCCCTCCCCCCACTCCCATTGCTCCCCGGGCGCTGTACAATAGCTGCCCACTGCTCCTAGTACTAGACTCCTGGTACTGGGTTAAAAGCAGTGAACACATGTCACTGTGTGTGCTGTGTGCTCTGCATGTGTGACCATTAAAGAGGGGTTCATCCCTCCCAATTCTTCTTCCAGTTCATTCACAGTGGGGCACACAGAAAAAGATAGTGTTTAAGATTTCAACATTTTTGGTTCAGCCCACAAAACAACACAATATGGTGTTAACTTTCACAGAATTATTGTAAAAGACATAGTCACCATTTTATTAAAAAACATTCCTGCAACACTATCACTAGTATTAAAATAAAATGTATTTTTGGATGGGGCTACAGGGTCAAGCTCAGTGTTACCCCCTGAGAACTGCCCATGTTAATGACTTAGTTATTGTTATTAAAGGGTAGGTAAGAATGGAGAAACCAGCTCGAGTGCGCTAGAATTTGAAAGTACACAACCGGACAAAATCTGCCCCTTCGTTCAGACTTCGTTTCAGAGCCCCTCCTCCAACACACACGAACAAGTGTTTGTGCACGAGATGGAAGGCTGACAGGCAGGTAGGCCATCCAATTATCTGCCGCGGGCCGAGGCAGATCATTGGACTTGCTTTTACAGCCACGGCTTCCACAGATGAAATATATATTTATTGTCAAAGCATTTCATTTATTAATTGCTATTAGGATGTTAAGAGCATTCCATGGAATATAACAAAAAGTGTTTCTGAAGTGAATTACCTATACCTTTAAGACGGTAATTGATTAACCTTTTTTAACAACAAAGCCTGACGTTTCTTAAACTATTGTTATAGCATTGTAGTATCACATTTGAAATTAAGCTGTCTTTATGTTTAAGCTAGTAGAAATGTATTTTCCTCCTTTAAGTTTTGCATTTTTCTCCTGTAAAATTAGCCTCAGATGTAAAACACTGCCTCTTGTGGCATGTTGCTAAAATGTTTCTCTCTCTCTCTCTCTCTCTCTCTCTCTCTCTCTCTCTCTCTCTCTCTCTCTCTCTCTCTCTCTCTCTCTCTCTCTCTCTCTCTCTCTCTCATTCTTTCATCTTTTTACAATGTATTTGTTGTATTAATGTAGGTGAGTAAAAACTACAACATTTGCTTCCAAAATTGTGAAGTAGAAGTATAAAGTAGCATAAAATGAAAATAATCAAATTGAGTACAATAACATGATTTAAGAATGTATGGCTACAGTGGGCTACTACTTATACAATGAGTTATTAGTTACTAGTTATATCCTAATCTGGTCCTCACTCTAGTCTAGACTACTTGATATTTTTCCATCAGTCTTTGAAGGTCTGTAACTTAATCCAAACTTTAACCAAATCTTAGTGAAAAGTTTGCTAGTCACTGCAAAGACACCCTGCCAAGCAAAGTATTTGTCCACACCTTGATATCATATCATCACATGACTGCTTTACTTCTTCTTTTTAATACGGAGGCTTACAAAATAAAATAACTTTGACAGTAAAGGCAGATGCACATCTTCTTCTTTCTTCTTCTTCTTCTTCTTCTTCTTCTTCTTCTTCTTCTTCTTCTTCTTCTTCTTCTTCTTCTTCTTCTTCTTCTTCTTCTTCTTCTTCTTCTTCTTCTTCTTCTTCTTCTTCTTCTTCTTCTTCTTCTTCTTCTTCTTCTTCTTCTTCTTCTTCTTCTTCTTCTTCTTCTTCTTGTCTTGTATCTGTATGCTAACATGGTTGTGAGGTCTCCGTTGTTTCTGAGTAAAGTCTATTTAACCCACTAAGATTATTTGTGTTTATGTGGAAAATAAAATGGATCAGCGAGGGTTCCCAGCTCATAAAGACTGACTTATATTGAAACAAATGTCGGTTTTCATTGATTTTAGTACTTAGCCAAAATAACTTAAGAAGGAAAATATGGCCTCTATTTTCTCAAAAGATGCACAGAATATTATTACAGATATGTGATAGCTGTGAGAATAATTAAAGGGGTATTCCAAAGAAATGTGTTATTCAGTGTGATATAAGTCAACAGCATATCCTACATTTCAAAGTGGCTTAGAGCAGGACACCAGGGTGGGCTTAAAGGACTTGTTTGTTTTGTAGTTTTGGATGATGCTAACAAACCATTTTGATGATCTAGCACATGGCACACAATTCTTAAAATTGAATTTTCTGTCAGCTATGAAATATTGGTGGTAGGATCATCTTGCAGTTCAAATGCATCCTGCAGGGGGCCAGAGCCAATAAAGTGCCACAAATGTTAGGCAGGCCAATCCAATACCCAGGCCATCCAGTTGGAGCCTAATGCAAGTCACTTTTATAGGACCAGAACAGGTATGTTTGGAAAGGCACAAACTTTGCCGAACTAAACAGGCTTTACCTGTGCTAAGAAAAAAGCTAAGAGGCTTCGAAAAGACCTCTGCTGCATGAGTATAATCCAATATAATACAGTGTGTTCATTGATATTCACATCATCTCTCTCATGTTTTTGATGTGATCATTGGGAAAGAAAGCTTGGGTTTAAGCAGTTTTCTGTACAATTGCATTTTTGTTGGGGGTTCTGCCTGTGTGGATTTGAATGTGTGGTTTTTATATTTGAACCTATGATTTTAACCTGTAAAGTGTGCAGAGACTCAGGGTAACTCTAAATAAAGTACATTTGAGTAGCATCTGTATGCTTTTCTTAGTATTTGGGGGGTTACGACCGCAGGAAGAGTTAACATTTACCAGTTTAGACTACATTAAGGTCAACAGCATAAATAAATAGATAAATAAATGAACACAACAGTACAATTTAGATCTTAATGTTGGGAACAGTGTTTTTTTTAAAAGAACAATAAATGTTTGTGTCTCATGACCTTAGTATTTTTAAAATACACACACCTAACACACCACATGCACTTGTGAAAGTACAGCTCTGGAAACAATTAAGAGACCACTGCAAAATTATCAGTTTCTCTGGTTGTACTATTTATAGGTATGTTTTTTGTTGTTGTATTCTATGAACTACTGACAAAATCTGTCTGTGTTGCAATTCAACAGACAATGGAATGAAAGGGCTGCCATACAGGTAGAGATTGAGATTTAAGAAACATGTGGTCTCTCAATTTTTTTCAGAGTTATATAATACTAGCTTGTTTTATGCAAATAACTGTTCAAGAGGGACAATGCTTAAAAACAAAAAAGTGTAATTATTAGTAATTTATGATGATATAGCGATAAGAGGAGCAGAAGCTTAAACACCGTGAAACACTGGATTTAAAACGTTAACGACTTTAACAAAAAGGTAATAAGTTAACTATGTAAAGAGGTATCGTTTGTTAGCAGTAACTGTTTCACATAACAATGATAATGCCTCGGTATGTTAACTTTTGTGATAACGAAATAATAGCTTCTTAAACCTCAGTGCTAAGCTAATGTTTATGCTAGCAACGTAGTATGTGTCAAATATGAAACTTAGCTAGCCTACCTTTAGCTGTTAAGCATGTTAGGGGTAAACATATTTACGGTTTGGTTAATTAACGCAAGGCTTTACAATTAATTTAACAATTAATTTATTTTCGCCACT